CTCTATCGAGCTGTGGGGAATTAACAACTTCCAAATTTCGGTATACGTGTGATGTTACCGAAGCACCTTATCAAATTATGGCTTCGATGTGCTTAGCATGAATTTCCGTGCATTAATATTCACTTTGACACGAATCAATGGAAATTGAAACGAAACTTCATTTGGCTGCTTGCCAGACCTTAAACGCTCTTCCAGATTTATGTCAAAACAACTAATCTGATTTGTTGCACAACTAAAGGTGCTTGGTTCCAGACTGAAATTTCTCACTTCTTAAATTTATTAAATTGCATAGTTTAAAATTTATTAATGTATGGTAATGTAGAAAATATTCTTCCGAGTTGTAATCTGTTTCTGAACTATACTTATAGCGTTAAAAATGTAAATTATGAAATTAAACTGCCTCTCTTCACAAAATTTCTTTGAAAACTATCAAACTGTTAAATTGACGAGTAGCTAAACTCCGGAACGCGTGAAATAGCAGCGCAGAAGTCCGAATTTCCGGTCCACTCTCTAGAAATTTACGACCAATCCGAATGCGTAGCTACGTTAACTTTATAATTCAATTCACCAGCTATCGATTGGGCGGTTTAAACGTCGACGCGTATCCAATTGATTCGTAATCCCCTTCGCAAATTTGTGGTTACCCGTGTTCTTCAATTCCCGATTCTGAAATCAGCGATTCGATTGCTCCACAGCTTCAATCTGAACATGATCTTGCTCTCTTCTTTACACTTTCAAGTTCTGTAGCAGCAACTTGTCCTCAAGAACACCTTAACCCAAACCTTCTTGTCAATTTCTTCACAAAAATTTTATAGACTGAACAACAGATGCACAAATATATTGCGTCCCAACCCCATCGACGATGACTGTATCATAAACTCACCGTTCGGTGTGCCCCACGAAGCCTGTGGAAGAGTGTAATTTCATCCGGAGGTTCAACTTTCGCTAACAAAGCGAAGAAAAACATGTTACGGACACCGCGCCGAAAATGCTGCATCGTTTTTCAGGGTGAAACCGTGTCGGCCACTTTTTACGATGCAAAGCAGCGTGAAACAAAGCGGATAGCCCCGATTTAAATGTTTTTGTCGCCGCTCGCGAAACGTTTTAAACGTCCGTTTCAAACGAGAACCGTGACCGGAAGAGGAATGCCGCGGCGCTCGTTGACCACCGTCTTTTTCGGAGTTAACGCGCGACTTTCCCGGAATTCTGGCCACCCACTCTGTATTTCAGACGGTGGATTATTTAATGCTCGGTCCATGCGCCGTGAAATTTCCTTCCAGACGTCTGCCGCGAGGGCAGTCAGGAATTTTCGAGTATTATACAAGATCCGATTTCTCTTTTTGCATCTTCGTGAAGGGTTGGGAGATATTAGGTTGTCCCGAAAGTTTCTTTCGTGAGTTGCACTCAATTATTTTATGTGGTCGTGTTTATAAAAATAGACAATCTAACTTCGTAGATACTCATATTGTAACAGTAATGGAGCAAAATGAATCGTGCACAATTCAGTAATGTAACATAAAAGATAAACTATTGTGCATGTATTACTTATTAATAAAGCGAAAGATACTTTTGGGGCAACCTAATATTTAATGCAGGTACCCCCTCGACACTTAAAAGAACACATAGTTCGTGCATTATTTATGAAAATATAAAACATCTCTGAGAAATGAATACCTAGTGTCAATACGAACGGAAAAGTCCTTTTCCATTTTTCAAACCGATGCTTCGTTGCGGAGATATTGGCAGTTAAAGTTTTGCGAGCTGAACCCTGTACCGCACGGGCATAGCGCTGAACCCTGTACCGCGTGAGCGCGAGCGCTTAGTCTCGTGACTGCGTGCGCGCGAACTCATAGTCACGTGCGGGAGCACGCGCGCGCACCCAGAGATAAACAAACCCCACCTCCGAGCGGGCCGCGTCGCGAGTCCCAACATGGTAAACTTCAATCGCAAATATCTCAGTAACGAATGATCCAATCGCAAAACGGTATAGGGCTTTTTTATTCCTTGTTCCACGAGCGATTGACCCTAATAGATTTCAAATTTTTTTTTATTGCTCCATAGTAAATTTTTGGTTTTTATTCAGGTTAACTATTAATTTAATTTTGAAATCGTTTCGTCCTACTGCAAAGTGTGTGTTATTAATGAAATTTTTAATGAAAAAAATTGTATAAATCTATGAGAAACGTATTTTACTTCGACTGTATTAATGTAACTATTATTTTACTACTATTGCCATCACACCTCATGCAAGCTTTCTTCATGGTCTTTAGGTAAGGTGGCACAACACTCTCGCATCACGCCTGATGCAAATCTAACGACGAAACGATATTATGCTAGTTTAACTTATTTTAGTAGAATGAAAAGATGATACGTTCTCTCCCGTTCACCATAAAAGTTAACTGAAGTGTCGAACGAGAAGCTTCGCGTTATAAGGTCGAGTTTAAAGAGACATATTCTTCGCCGTGTGAGGGTTAAGAAAGCTATATGCAGTAAACCCTCGTTTATCTGATCCTCGATTATAGACTTCCGGATTATCCGTCCTCGCGAACGAGGAATTCTTTCTTTTTCTAATTTTTTTAAGAAATTCTTCTTAACGACAGCGATCACGAGGCAAAGTTTACAGACCATCTAGGTTAAAATAGAAATAACATCGATGCCATGGTGCGACTTTCCTATTAAATCGATAGATCGAGGAACTACTGTATCCACTAATTTTGATTCCTGAATTTTAGAGGACCAATAATACCAACTTTAGAAGAACTAATAACAATATTGACGACTGTTGACAGCACCTTCAATTTAAAATATCAAAGTGCCTTGCAAATTGCCTGCAGAACAAAGTAGTGGAGTCCTTCTCCATTAATTGTAACATTTACAATAGGAATACATTGGCCATAGATAGTTCTAGTGTAAAACGTCCCCCCGCAGAAGAACCGTGACCGGAAGAGGAATATTGCGCGGATCGGTGTGTACATCCGACGGTGAATTATTTAACTCCGGCTTCCCGTGGCGTAAAATTTCGGTCCAGGACGTCTGCCAGTAGTTAAGCGATCGCCGCCAAGAGCAGACGATAAACATCGTCTGCGCGGAATATTTTAGCATTAATTCCGAGGAACGCGGAAACCAAGCAGTTTCTTAATGAAATCGTACCGCTAATCAGCTTCTGCCGCCTCGGGGAAGCTCTCTGTGCTTGTCTCAGGTTCCACTCAGATCGAGCGACAAATTAATGGTCCCTACTTCTGCATGTTGACGAGATTGAACGACGATCGGTTATTTCAGAAATTGCACAACTAGATTTTCAATAGGTTCGAGGCACTCGTGAAGAGTAAACGAAGGGATTTGTATCTTTGGAAGGAATTAAGTCAGAATATTTAGGTCAGGTATGATCGCTCGAGATTCTGCACAATTTATTCAGAAATATCGCGAGACAGATCTAGTTTTAGAATGATATATTCTGTTACAACAAAATAATATACAACCGACCAATATCGTCGTGATTAAATTGCCTCAAGTTGATTCTACTAGTTACGTTGTTATCCAAATCAAATCTGCTCACCTCTGCCTCTAAAAATAGGTTTTTGACATCTTTGGACCTGCGAGCTTTTAGCGTTAACGTGAGATTTGAAAGCACGCTCGCAGAAATACTTTGTCGATCGAAGACCTCCGTAGGAACGAAGGTAGCTTCACATTTTGCAGCCAAAATATCAAGTAATTTGAAAAAAAAAAATTATTAAAATTTAGAGGATTAATGCATTCGAATTATGACCGAGCATTTTCTGTTTTAACAAGACAATTTATTCTAGTCGCCGAATAAATTCTTCCAGGTAACCCAGCAGAGCATAAAAGATACGATTATATTGGCTTCGTTTGATTTATGCGCGGCGAACTTCTTTCTTTTTACCGCGGCGTAAGCTACTGTGGGTCTACTACAATCGACCTCTTCATTTATAATAACAACGTACAGGTCATTAAACCTTCGTTCCTATAACTTCGATAAATTTCTAGTATATAAAAATGCGGATTACCGCAGACCGCTTTAACGCAATCAATAGGGATTCCGTACGTTAATATCGAAGCTCGCATATTTCTTCTCCCATTGCAGAAATTGAATTCCGTTCTTTCTAACGAATTGAATATATCAGATGTGTAATTACCAGACCAAATATTCTTTAATTTAACTATATTTAAAGAAGCTATTACAGAAGTTAATGAACAAGAATTGCTGCAAACGGTAGAAAATAATTAACGAAAATATCGACTCGGTCTTAATTAAAGAGAAAGATGAATTAATAATGACAAATTAAAACGGGTTACTGGTTAAATAGACTTAAATTGTGTCAAAAGAAGGAATAGTTAGCTACAAATCACAGTAAATACTAATAAAAAAAAAAACCAGAATAAATATGAAATGTTGGTCAGCGACCGTGCTAAACGACGAGGGATTCGATTACCACATCGACTTCAGCCCAGAATTATACTCTATATGCCGCCAGAGGGTCGATGCATCGCAGCCACCGACATATCGATGCGTTTCACGGAGTGTCTCGTTGCAACTGACATTATTAGTACTACGGCGGAGTGCTCTGTTCGATAAAACGCGCACAGGGCGTACGCGAGATCGGATTACCGATCGTGGCGTGGACTTCTGTCCTACAACGATAGCTGGATTTTACCTGTACAACTATAGTCTGTAGACGAGGGCGACTGAATCGCAAATAATAGTCGCAGCACACACGACCCAAAAAGCACTCGCACGCCCCAACACTTGTTGCTGAGAATTCCTGACGAATCGCAACTAAAAATTGTTGGCGCGCCCCCCGTCGTCGCTGGAAATCCCGCAGTGAGGAATATGAAATATGAAATGGTATTTAATCATCGCTCCAAGAAACGCGAAATTTCGCTCTCGGTGCGCTTGGAAACTTAACGAAACGCTGGTTAAATTAATTGTGAGAATTACTTGGCCTCGAACGAAACTGTAGCGGTTATTCTGCCGAAATGGGGGTATCAACAAAGTGGAAATAAATTGCTGGCTTATTATTTTCGATAGGGATATTTGTAGTATTAAATATTTTCTACTATCGTATGGAAAATAGTATATACGTTAAACGAGTAGTTATGTTTCATGCTTCTCGACGGCTATTCTGTGATGTGTTGATGGTAAAACAACTTTATTTGTTGAAACTGTGACTGCATTTAATTCTGATACTCTTTATCGTTAACAAAAAAAAAAGAGAAAATGTTTTATACCCCACACTAACAATCCTCGTAAACGTATTTCAAGATTCGAATGTTTGTGGACGAAAAATGTAAACGAAAACAATTCCCTGATTAAAGCTCGCGCTTGTTCGAAGCTCAGCTTTCCCTGAGAAATCCGATTGGAGTACGAAAATACATCCCATTGTTCAGGATTGCGATTTCGTTGGACGGAATTTCGTGGATGGTGTTAGTAGCGGGTGTCGTAAAAGTTTATGCGCGGCTAGTGTCAGGAAGGATGAATAGGAACGACTTTGGGAGTGGATCTATGGTACTGTTTTCTACTAGCTATCTGTCGCATAGCAATCCTCCCATATCCTATACGTGCAAATAAATAAAAAGAAATGGGAACTTCAAGAGAAAGACTTCCGGGACTGAAAGATTATTATTTTAAAGCCTGCACCTTGTTCAAAAGCTCAACACGCGGTTCACGATTCTGGGAAAGGAACTATTCGCGAGGAACGCGTGACTTGTCGTTCCAGGCAGCTTTCGCGGTACGTCTAGTCACGTTGCAAAGAAAGCAACGGGAACCCAGGAAGCATTTAAAAATCTCCCCCTCTCGCGAGAATTTCGAAAAGCTTTCGTCTCGATTCGCTCGCTCGCCACTCTTTGAAACGAAACACCAGCCGAGCCCACTCGAATTACTTTCACGTGGAAATTACTTCGTCTGCGCCTCCGGCTATTCGTTTAACTGCGAGGCGTTTCAGAAAGCCACCTGCCGCGTTGGCGCGTCGCCCACCGGAAACGCTTCTGCACTCGCCTGAATCCGTCTGAATTTCTTGCTGCCAATTTGACGACTAATTCACGACGCCCAAATCGTTCCTTGTAATAATCACGCAGAGAGACGTTCTGGAGGTTTCCTAGGAAGATTGAACGATTGGCGCACACAATTTAAGAAAAAAAAAGATAAAGCTGTACAATCTCATTGGTTATGTAATGGAAATTTTGGTGAAACAAAAATAACATGTGCTTCTCATTTTAAAACGATACATCTCCCTATAATAAATTTCGAATAAGTATTGCTAGAAGAACAACATGCACCGACAGGCTAGCTTTTCTGCGAACTGTAATCATTACTTCATTAACGCAATTTTACCAAAGTAAAGCACACATTTAGTAAAAATAATAGTAGAAATAATAAAAGAAATATCAGAAGAATATTAAGAAAGACACAATTCTGGAGAAATATATTAATCAATCAATTGATAAGGTACAGAGATGTCTCCCTATTAGAAAACACGGTGCTCAGTGTTGTATCGGTTGCATCGATAAAATTTCGTGAGCGTTACTCGAGAAACGCTTGGAAACGTCAAAGGTCACTATCACGAAGATTACAGAATCGCGTTCGTTTGCCAGCAGTCAGCCGAGTCACGATTCGACGAGTTACGAGAACTCGTTCTTGACTCGCACTTCGGTCCAACTTTCCTCGTATTAAATTTCCTTCTCATTACCTCCACCTGTTATTCGCGAATACGGGCGTTAATGGTAATTTAAAGTCAAACGCGTCGGCTGCAATCGAAGAAAACTTTCATCCGCCGAACTCCGCGCCTGAAGTCTGTCTACCGTTTTGTTCTTCACGCTTAATGCACCGTAAAGAGCCTCGGAGCTACGTTCGCCACTTCCTAAAATCACTTTCGCGATCGACGTGGAGCGATCTCTGGACGAAAACATTTTCTGGATGTACAAAAAGTCGGAATAACGTGGCCAGGCTGCTCCACACGGTACTTTCTTTTTTTACCGCATTTCTGTATTAGATTGACCACAGCTTTCAGGAGTCCATTATCTTCGCTTCCACTATCCGACATTATCATCCCGAAAATTCGTTTCCGTTGGAAAAACACGTCCACCGATGGGGGGCGTCGACGACACATCATAAAAGCACACGATCGATGCGAAAAACTCGAAACCACTGTCTTTATGTACAAAGAAAACAGCCGCTCTCTACCTTGCTGCTTTTATATAAGCCGGGGAAACTAACGAGTGTCCTTCCTAATTAAAATCCCTTGATGCGTAGAGGATAACACTTGTTTCGCTATTTTTAGAAATAAAGGAACGGAAGCTTCTCTCTGGAGTCGTTTGCACCCTTTCAGCTTGCTAAACATGAAAGATGTTGACGATTTTCATGGAAATTCGATTATTGCTTGCAATATATGTGAGAATTAATCTGGTTAGGGAACATTGTTTTAAGGGAAAATTTTAAAGGGAGGAAGTGGATGTTCATTTGTGTGGTTTCCTTTTATATTCAATTTTCGTTAGGTTTGAAATAGTTTAAGCTTCTCTCTATTTATTGAATAAAAACCAGGTGTCACTTCATCCGTTCACTGTATTTAAATGAAGCTTCTTGAAAATTATTCACGCCTTTTTATTTTACATTCAGTTACCAAAAAATAACCAAAGCTATAACCAAGCGTGTAGCTTTAGTTTGATACAGCTTGTGGACGGCCATAAAATTTTTCTTACGTTTCGAGAAGTTTGTGGTTCGCGCGATGCGTGGCGCGAAAAATGCGTGGCGGTGGGTACGCACGCGTGTGAAGAAAACAACAGCACAGGGCGTTACGATGCGTTGCGTCATGCGTTGGACGGTTTTCCGGATAGGGCAGTAATTTGGCGCCGCGGCGCAAGCGCCGCAAGGCGGGTCCAGGTCAACGGCAAGAACCCGGTCTAGTCGTACGACGAACGTCCAACCGGCTCGTCGGCATCGCGACTCTCCGCGAGCTCGTGCGAGCGCAATCGCTTCCCCCCTTCTACCTCCCACCGCGAAGATAACAGAGAAGACGGAAGAGCAACAGGACGAGAGCCCCAAACAGATCTGTGCGTGCGAACCCCCATCGCGAGCTCACCCCGAAAACTACTAAAACAACAATTTCACCGATGTAAAGTTTCGTCTTGATCGAATAAAAGAAAATCGAAAAGAAAACCGATTGAAAAAGTGATCGGTCAAGGAATTAGCACTTGCCTCGAAGAATTCGGTGACAACCAAGCGTTCTTCCACTCTGGTGACCGTGTGATCAACGATCGCGATGATCGATGGCCAACAGCTGAAGAAACCGAGGAACGAGTCGTTACACGCAGATTCGAGCAAGGAAAGAGTTGACTGTCTGATGGATCGTGTTTGGAGAGACGTGACCGGGGAAATCGTCGGGGAAACGATATAAAGAACGACCCGTTCGCGTCCAAGTCTTCTTCTTTTTTTTCGTCCGAAGAGCTCCTGTCAATCACGAGAGGCGAGGGTGAGAGTAAACAAAGTCGACTTCGGGAGAAGGCTCGGCCTGATCGAGAGGCTCGATCCAGAATATGATGAAATTCTCGTTTTCATCGGAAGCGTAGCTCGAATATCGACAGAAGCCGGCGGGGACACGCGGATTTCGGAGACAGGCACTCGCGAGTGCGACGAGCAGAGGCGCACTTGTTTTGTTTTCCTTCGGGGAAGTGCGAACCATTTCGGAGTGATAGTTTCGAAGTTGATAGTGACACGAGGCGAAATTGGACTTGTCAAAAAAAAGTGTGAATGACATCGAGTTCATAATACGAGAATGGAGGTACTTGTATAATGCACTCTTGAAAGATATTGGACAGTATCAAAAAACAAGTCCAAATGTTACACAGCAATATGTGAACAAGGTGATGCCTGTGTTTGCTACATGTTGGACAATTTAGACTAATCGAAACAAGTGTGCATATTACCAAGTGCATAATTGAGTAAATCTATCAGTATCTTGCATAATGCACAAAGATTGTACGAAACCAAAGAAAAAATCCAATCTAAACCAATCTAACTAGTCTAAACTAAATATAAACTAATAATATAAAAATTATAGTGTCAGTTCCCTGACGATGCACTCCCGAAAGACTGGGCCATCGAAGAGATCCGAAATGTTACGAAGTGATGTGTGAACGGCTCTGTGTTTATCGGAAGTTGAGGAAGTCAGCGAGGGATCGAGGATCGATCGCGGAGCCGAGCATCCTCGTTCTTCCTGCGCTTCAACGAGAGCATCGCGTGTCACGGCTCGAACAGGTACGTGAATTTCGCCACTCTTAACCTTAATCCTCCGAGCCATGACTACCGGCAGTCGGGAAGGAAGGAGGGATACAAGCGTGTCGGCTGTGCGATGGAAAAGGAAATTGGTTCATATTGGCCTCTCTCAATTGCCGATGAGCGCACATGGCGCGCGTAAAGCGCAGCGCGGCCTATCGAGCCGTGTGCAGGAAAAAGTTTTCAAACTACTCGCTGCATATATTGAGAAAGGCTCGAGTGTGCGCGTCCCACCGATGCAGATAGGATGAACAATGTTGCTCTATGATAATTTCGCGGACGGTGATTAGAAGTTGGGGGAGGCTTTGTATCGTTAACCTCGAAAGTGGAGGTCAGAGCCTCGTTACGTGATGTATCGAGCTACGTGCCAGTTGGTCAGTGGTTCTTTACCCTTTGCACTCGACATTTTATCTGGGAAGTGTTAGAAAGTTTAGACAATGTCGTAAATATTTGGTGAACCTCTTGCAATTTAGATAAAATTGTTTCGTGGATAGATGAATGCGCGAAAATATTATATTTTATTATTTTGGGGCCATAGAAACCTATTTTTGTTGGACACCAAAGCTTTAAACGTAACTTACTACATACATTTGCTTAATAATCCGCTGAACAATGAAATGTTTCTTCATATTTGCATTAAAGAGAAACGAATGTATGTAAAACTTTTTATTCGTATAATGAGTTTTTGGAAAAAGTACACGGTCGTATAATTTGTATCGCCCTCGCCGCAGGGTAATCTCAAAATTGATCAAACAATTAGCCCAACTTGTTTCATTCTGCGTAACCTAACAAAATTTGATTTTCAAACTATGCGCGAAAATTGACGTAAAGTGCTCGTATATTACATCGACGTACCGAACATAGAAACGCGACATTCCCAGGGCGACGTAATTAATTTTTCAACTTTTCAACTTCGTACATCAATTAAGCATCGCGGAACTCTTGGTGCTCTTCCACCGTTGAACTTCGCGACGATCGATCCTCGTTGCCGAAATCGTGGACGTTATTAAAATGATAAATTTGCCCACCACGACGAAAGTCATCGCGACGGAATATTCTTTGAAATTGCTGAATTTAGATGAGTGATTTAATCGTGCGAGAAATGAGAATAACCCAGTTCCCCCGTCGACTCTTTGTGTACGGAGCATTAAAACAAATGGAAATATCATGGTAATGATTCGGTATCAATCATATCGTCGTTGGGAAACACACGCGACGTCTTCAAGGCCCTGGAATGCGACGCTCGTCACGAATCCGTTGATTACTCTTTGGGTACTTTGGTAAAAATTGAAAGACATTGGAATTATTCAAATTCAAAGACGCAGTATATTTAAATTAATATTGAAAATTCTAGAGGTAACAAAGATTTATATCAACACTAGGTTTACTTATGCTGACTTTTATCCATGTAGAGTGACAAATTTATTTTTGTTCCCTCGTAATTAATTTTAGTAAATCAACTTCACTTATTAACTTAGTGTCAATACAAATATTCCAGAATTTTGTCAGATGGCAAAGGTGGTTCAGCCCGAAAGAAGAATAAAGAATTTACACAAAGTCATGTCTGGATGGCTTCTTTAAAAGTCTTTTTCCAGCCAGAATTTTCGTCGTCCATCTCATTCTTTTCTAAATCGAACAAATCTGTCCGCCGCGAAAAATAAATTCCCCTTTGCAATTTTCTATCAATCATTTCAGTTCCAATCCAAGTGAAACGCGAAAACAGAAGTCTCGAATAGTTCCCGAACAAAAGCCGCGATGCAAGTAAAATTCGAAAACAAGTTACGAAAAACTCGAGAACTTCCGTTTTGTAACTGGAACACGTTTCTGCAATCCGCGGTTGTATTGTTGGTGCCCCGTGGTTCTATAACAAATATATTGCTGGCTTTGGTGCGGTTGATTGTATCTTTGGCAGCAAGCCTGCTTGTCTATCGCCAGCAGCACTAACCGCAAGGTGTTTCCGTTTAAATAATTTCAACCAGAGAGAAGTTAACCTGCCGTTCAAACTTTTCTTACTTTCGACAGGTTCACGCTGTTCGTTTGAATGGGAGATTGTAACAAAGATGTGCAAGAATTACGTCTGCAAAAAAATATGTGGAAAATCTGGAAACGTTGAAACGATTTGATGTACCTCCATTTTTAATTGGCTCGACAGCCACTTGAAAATTATCGATTCGTAGCATTCATGTATTTCCAATTCGATGCAAGAAATACCTTAAAAATTGTGGAAATTAAAACGGCGTTAAAAATATATATTTGTCACATTGTCCTGTTTTCCATTCCACTGAATTTCCATATATAATGACAATAAAATTCAAGCTGAAACCGATCGCGAATGTGTCAAGAATTGATCTCGGTCCAACCAAAGGTACTTCTGAATATAAATAACAAAAATATAAAATCCGCCAATTTTAGTGTCTTCGCTTGAACTGCGATCTCAATTCAGATCTATACCGATCTCTTCCGTTCGACAAAAAAAAATAAACCAATGGAAAGCCCGCTTGCCTCGCGTATGCACTGTGGATAGCACGTAGCACGACCCTTCCTGGGAAGTTCATAAAAGTTGCAAGTCTGAATAATTCAACGAGTAGGTCGAAAGAAGCCCTGACGACAGTCGCTGCGGATTCGAAAAAGAGAGCTTTCGTTTTCCCACAGGGACGCGAATTAACCAGATTTTACGGGGAATGAAGGATTACGTGGTATTCTCGGAGAGAGACGAAATTAAATTAAGCTGGGTTTTTGTTCTAAATCTTAACGGGCACCTTTTTAAGTTGCTTTGATTCCTTTGAGGCTGCTGATATTCCCTCTTCTAGAATCGCGCGAGTCGCTCGGGTTATGTTCCTCGCGAATCGTCTAATTACCTGCTCGGGATTTTACGTCAGCTCGTGGACATCAATGATTCAACGTCTTCCTTTCTTCGGGAAATTGCATCCAAGAGGTAATGGTATAAAGCGTACGGTGCGTTGAAATTTTTATAGAAATTTTCCGGAAGGAGAGAGGGATAGATCAAATTTTTTCTTCTTCTGACTTGTTATTTCTATTTCCCTAGAAGTACACGCGAAATTATCTCTTTTTCTCATGGAACACTCAGAGCAACGCCGGTCTGTGTCCCGCGATTCGATTTCGTCGCGATTAAGTTCGCCAACGGGAACATTCGGTTGTCTACGGCGCGCGTTTGGCGAGAAAATATTTGAGCGAGACTCCGCTAGGCGGAATTTCACTTTGCTGTTTCATTCATCAACGAGATGCTCTCCTCTTTAAATATCACTTTTCCCGCGGGAAAAAATAACTTTTCTCATTTGAATTTTCTTAATCTCGCTTTTCGTTTAACCGCGCTCGATATTCCTCGCTGCTCTGTTTGTTTGACGGTCGCCCGTTACTTTCCGCGATGCGCGCGCCCGGATGCAACAGTTTTCAAACGGAGTTATGCATTTTCCACGATAACCAGAAATGCGCTTCGCACGGTTGAAGATAAGGGTAATATAAATCGTTTTCTGGAAATTATGAGGGTGAAGCGCGGTTCGTGAGCGATAAAATTGCTTTTTGCTTTTCAGATATCATACTCTTGAGAATGCGATAAAATGTTAAAATTAAATTTATACGAAGATATATAAAATAACTCAGCAGGGTAATTTTTTATAATTGTGAACTAAAAAGGACGACAATTTTTTTATTTTGATATGTTTAAAAATATTCGTGACACTTTAAGAGGCAAAGCAGAACTCGTCTTTATTTTTTAAATATTGATCGGCTCCGAAAGTTCAAGATATGCTTACGCTCGAATACTCACACAGTATCTATATACATTTATGAATGCGGTGCATGCAGTATTATATCAGCTATAGTTCTTTGCTCTGCATATACACATTGCGGTAGGGACTGTCGTTGTGCTACAAATATCCATCGACAGTGGCACTTTATGCGCGCTGAAATACTATCCTGCGAGGCTCAATGTTTACTACTCACTGGCCTTTCACAACCCAGAGCCTTGTATTGTTCCCGCCGTCAGTTTGCCTCGGTTATGCACAACCACCTTCCTATTTTGGTGCACGTTGCTTCTTTTTAATCAAACGGAATTCGTGCTTTATGGCCTGTAGCTTTCCAATTGGTGAAATTGGAATATTCTGCTCGTCGGTGCTGTCGATATTCGCCACTGAACTTTCTTGTTCTCGATGTAAACTTGCACTTTCCAAATTTATTGTAAAGCGGTATATCGATTAGGCCTTGTAAGGAACTTGTAAATAAAAAGATGTGGTTTGAAGGAGCGGGGACTTCCAAACAAAAAGCTTGAAAATAAAAAAGATTAGTAGTACAAAATGAATTATCGTTTATTTAGGAAAGTTCTGAAAAGTTTGTGTAGATATAGAAGACTGCGGTTGTAGATATCCAGAATTCCATGCATACGTTTGTGGAGCCAAAATTGTTGAAAATAGTGGAAAGGAAATAGTATCAGACAGGAAGGCGCTGTCGTGACTGTTACGAGAGCGTTAAACGATGAAGATCGAAAAACCGCTGCCAAGAAAGCTGTAAGAGTGAAAACAATTTCTTGAAAAGTCTCGGGAATGATTCGTCTTTTATATAATAGCGTGATAAATGTTGTCGAGTTAATGGACATCGAGCAAATGGAGTTTTATCACCCATATATGGATGACGTGGTGGTCAACGTGTTAATACTGGTGTCACATTTCTTAATCTACCATAAATTAACTAAAAACCCAAGGGCTCGTATTATTCGCCACTCAGTTTCTTTTCCCTTCATCACTTCTAAAATAACTTCCTATGCAACTTGGAACTCCTCCACCTCCAAAAGTGTGTGCATCAAAGAGGTAAACCGATGTCCCGATGTAAAATATATTCCCCATCGTGTACATCGCTGCAAAGGGTTAAAACTTCCCCCGTATTTCGTTCAGCACCGTCGTGGTTTCTCTCGAGCCTTCTCGGCGTGTTATATTCGAGTAATATCGAGCCAGTGTTCGCATCGAGTG